TATAAGTGGTCCCAGGGGACAGGTAGAAAGTATTTTTTAAGACCAGTCTGAATTTAAGCTTGACCAATGTACTCTTCATCTGTGTTACTAGTGCCTGGTACATAGTAGGTGCTCAATAAATATATGTTGAATAAATGACTTTCTCTTTTGGCAACCTTTTAAGAATATGTGCTCTTAGTACACAAGCTGCTCAAGGACCTTCTTGTTTATTTCTGTGAGCAAATGCAAACTATGGGAAGTCCTGAATCATGAGATTGGAAGAATCCTATTTTTGCCTGTGAAAATGCTTATTTGACTTCAGATTTTCTTGTCCTGTGACTTTATTTTATAATGCATGTCCCCTCCACTGGTCAACAGAACAATAAATGTAGTGTTTTCTTTTTAACTAGGCAAACATATATGCTATCTTATCACTAATCAAGAAATTGAATGAAAACCCGGCATTATTTTAGACATTTATTATTTTTGAAAAGCCTCCATTTGTATACATTTGCCTATCATTGCAAGCATTGTACAGTTTTTCATTGTTATTTTATCTGTATCAAGTATTTGTTTGTAATTATTAAATAAAGTCTGTTAGGACTACGGCTCCATAATTTAAAACTATTTCAACTTAATACCATTTAAAGCAAATGTTTAAGTTTTTTACTGTAAGACAAGACTGGGCATCAGGGAAAGCTATCAATAACTACTAATTCATTTTTAACTAAGACTGAGACATGGATGACATTCACTAGGAAACAAAAAAATTTCAAGCTGGAGCTCACTAGCCCAGGAAGTAAACCTTTGCTGTCTTCCTCTCTAACTTCTGCCATGCCTGTTCATTTCCCTTTCCATGGTATTACTTTAATCTGTTCAGCCAGCACTTACTGCAAAAATTTTACCTGTCCTGTAAACTTTCCAGACACCTTCCTTTTCCTATAGCCCTTTGAACTTTTATTACATCATTGTACGTAACTGCCTTTTTTGGGGGGGGGGGGGAATCCTACTTTCACGTTCACAGCTGGAATCAAAGGTAATTGTGTACTATCCCATGTTTCTAAAACAACAGTTTGTGAGTATGTTATCCCTTACTCTAAAAGGCTCAACTTCACATTATGTGTTACTTCAAACTGCATTGCTGAAATTATCAATGTCATTGCTTTTTGTCTCATGAGAACAAATCACAACTCCTAGGTTGGTATTTACCAAGGCCTGTCCTGGGCCTTCACTTCCTCATATCCTGGATTAAAGCAGAATCGCAAACCACCCCTCTGGCTTTTCACTTTACTTGTTTCTGAGTGCTGTGTAGGTGAAACAATATTCATCTTTTTCTGGATTTTTAGGCACAGCTGAAAGAGCTATGTTGATAATATACCTACGTATTCTATACCTGAACAATGACTATTATAAAGAACAAGTGTAACTACAATAAAAGGAACACTAATCAGACAGATATAGTTCCTCAGGAATTTTCACACCCTCAACCTCTAAATAAATACCTTAACAGAAAGACAGAGGGTGCCAGAGAGTAAGACTATACACAGCTGCAAGATTAAAATATAGCTGGAGGCTTTTATGTCTTTTGAGACCAAAATGTGTTCTCCATGATGACATATATTAGTAAATTTAATTATAAACTACCACTCCTTATAAATGGCTTTTCACTTCTCAGCACTAAAATTCTATGCTTCTCTAATTACATTAATTTTATCTTAGAAATGATTTTACAAGGTAAAGATTAAAACTGTTATAGGGTCCTGCCGGCGTGGCTCAGTGGTTGAGCGTCGACCTATGAACCAGGAGGTCACGGTTTGATTCCCGGTCAGGGCACATGCCTGGGTTGCAGGTTCGATCCCGTGTAGGGTGTGCAGGAGGCAGTCAATCGATTATTCTCTCTCATCATTGATGATTCTATCTCTCTCTCCCTCTCCCTTCCTCTCTGAAATCAATAAAAAATAAAAATATTTTAAAAAACTGTCATAGGATGGAATATTTTATCAATTATTTTTAAAAGATAAGAAAGAAAAATGGAAGTCTGCTGTAAACTGTTTGTTATATTGTCATTGTGTTGTCCAGCATAAACATGGGTGATCAGCTGATTTCCCTAACCTCCAAGTAGGTTTCTTATTCCTGGATAAGCCTGATTTAATGAAGAAGAAACCAGTAAAATGCAAATTCTTCAGACTTCCTTTTAATAAATCCAACTTATCATTGTTAAAAATCAATGAACCAAAAGATACTTTCAAGAAGCCTTATTACTCAGATATGTATTCGGTATAAGAAAATTGAGTCCAATTTGAAATGAATTTTAACACATAGTACACAAACATCACAACCCCCCAGAGCACAACACAAAACAGTCCTTTACGGAATATAAGCATTTGGCACATGAGAATGTGAAACTACATGATAAGAAAAAACCTCTTCAATGAACTAAAATGTACTTGTTAAAGATTATTTATTGCACAATATATCAGTTTATCCTAAAATAAAACAGATACTATTATTCTCTACTTCTAAATTCAGTACATAGTCAAATCTATTTTCTTAAACTAAAATTTTATAGCACTGTAATATTAGTCAACCCTTTGTTATTGAGTTAGGATAGGGAAAATTTTACAACATAAAATAAAATAAATTCCTTAGAGTTCATGAAACCATTTCACAAATCCTAGAAGGCACACATTATACTTCCTATCATACTAAGTGCATTTAAGTACTTCATAATTAAAAAAGACAAAGCTGTACAGAATACAAAAACTACATTTCATCCATTAACACATTTACAACTTTTTATGATTAGTTATTATAACATACCTAATATTCACATCTAAAGAATTATCACCCAGTTTAATGAAGTGAGCAAAAAGTGCTCATTTATTAGATAAGGCTAATAAAAACATTTTGTTTCACAGTAGATCAGTTAGTGTCTTGGAGCTCATATTGAAAAGTAAAAAGGTTTGGGCAATATCAAGTTTCTGTTCTCACTGTTAAATAATTCCTTGAAAGGTGAAGGATTCTGAGGGATAAAATCACTGGCTATACCTGGGAAAGATCCAGAAATCTGTAAAGCAACTTTGCTCATTTTCAGAAACATTCTTAAATTAGGCAATCTGAACTGGACTCAGTAAGTCTAATCCAAAGGATTTAAAATCTTAGAGCTGAAAAAGATATCGGGGGATCATCTATCCCAAGGTTTTCAAAATATGTTCCATAGAATACTAATGATCATGGAGGAGAGTCAGGGTTTTGCAAATTTGACCTGAATTTAATTAAAAAAAATTTTTTTTGGTAAAAAATTAATTTAAAAAATAAGTCCCATCATATAACTCTGTTACTCACCAAATTCTAATACACTGGATATCACCAATGCATTAATACATGTTTTCATTGATTGACTTTATAATATTTAGTAGCATAGTATATGAAGTTTACATAAAAAATTTATATTAATAAAATAAGATTTATAAAGTGGTTTAGGGGGTGTGTGTGCATGCATGCACATGCAGCACATGTAGCTAGGGGTTCTGAGTAAGATTTTACTTGGGGAAAAAAAGATTTTACTGCTGAAATAAAAGTGTGAAAACCACAAATAAAGTCTGTTTCTAAAGTATGAGCCTACAAACCAGACGAAGGGACTTTCTCAAGGTCACATGACCATAAAAGGCATCGCCAGGTTGATGTGATAGAGCCCTCAGTACTCTGCATAAATATCCAGTGAGTGTTTAGCTGTTTGGTACTGACCTGACCCCATCATGAATATCAACCAATTCATTATCAGTATTTTGGGGGTAAAAATCAAGCCATATTTGGTTAGACATTTTGCTTAGAAATGAATTTTTTAATTTGCATGCCTATTAAAAATCCTAGTATCCAAAAATTTTGCCATCAATATGAAGCAACTTAAATTGTATACTTTGGTACTTCAGAATATATTTGTAACTTACTAACAGGTCAGAAAAGTTACATGGAATGTTAACATTCTTTTAAAAGGAGACATCAGGCCCTAATTTTATTATATGCTGACATCATAATGTTTAACATAAAACAAAAATTTACTTTTTAAGTAAAATTTTAAAAAATGGTTGACATGCCACTGAACATAATTCCTTCAAAGTATTTGAAAGGAAGTGGAATGAACCATAAGAAAACCAAATTATCTCCTAATTTTCAGAGGTGTTTTATGTACTTATGGTTAAAGGCTTTATCCTATTTTCTTCTTTCTTAATCTAAGAAGTCTGAGGACTTGGCCTCAGTAAGATACTTTCAAGTTAAAATAAAAGCACCATAAACTAATATTGAATGATTCGCCATAATTTGGACATATAACACTTAGGATCTGTGATAAAATTTCCTTCTGAAACTCCAAGACGCATGAACTTTATCAAAAGCTATTTAGAACAGTTCCCCAGCTGTGGAAAAGCATTTCTAGAAGATTCCCCAGCAGAAATCCATTTATAAGGCAAAATCACACCCAACTTTTAGTCTTCACCCAAATTATACAGTATGAGGGGGGGGAAAAAGGCTTTTAAATAAAAAATATGTAGTTTCAAACACACAGCTAAAGTTATGAAATAACTGTGGATCATTTCAAGTAATAATTATTAAAGGAGCAATAATTAACCACAAGGGGGCATACATACTCCTTAGATTCCAGCAGAAAAACTAATTTAAGTAGTAACATGCACTTTGACGTATTCTACATTTTCAGTCATATAAAATTTTCTCTCAGATGGCTACAACTTTTTAACATTCATGGTTTATTTTATTTACTTATTTATTTATTTAATCCTCACGCGAGGATACATTTTTCATTGATTCAAGAGAGAGAGAGAAAGGGAGAGGGAGATAGATAAACATCGATGTGAGAAACATCGATTGGTTGCCTCCCATATGTGCCCTGACTGAGGATCAAACCCGAAACCTGGGTATGTGCCCTGACTGGGAATCAAACCTGAGACCCTTTGGTGCACGGGACACTCTAACCACTGAGCAACCCTGGCCAGGGTTTATGGTTATTCCAGAATGCTCCTACCCTGAAAAATAGTAGTGTTTCAGAAGCCTCTGGAAATGTTGCTGTTACTGCAGCAAAGGATTCAAGAGCAATTAGTTCTAATAAGCTATATTAGAACAGATAAATAATAGGAAAATAATGGTCTAGAACAGTAGCAAGTTTTAATTTACCATAAATGGAAGACATGAAAAGTTTATCAAATTGTCAGAAAAGCGAAAATAAGAGGGTGGGGAAAAGTGAGTTCTCGGTGCCTGCGCCACAACATCCCTGCATTCTTTCCCCATGACCCACATGTTTGTAGCCCACAATAGCAACAAAATACTTCACTCAAGGTCATGGTCTGTGGGGCTGGCCTGCCTCATCAGCCATGTTAAGAATATAGTTAGCCATATCATCTTCAGTGGGCGCATCTGACACCACCCAAGATTCATTTGCTCCAGTCATCTGCAGGCGACAAATAGGGCAATTCCTGTGTCGATCACTCCTGTTAGAGAAGTCGATTAAAGAATAATTCTTTTTCCTCTTTTTTAAAAACAGGTTTGTTTAAAAAGTAATACATATACATGGTTTATAAAAAAGTAAACAGCATAAAAGTACACAGTGAAAAATAAATCTCTCCCTCCAGCCCAATCTTTAATTCTTATCCCCAGGGGCAACCACTATCAGTTCATCAGTATGTCCTGTAGGCCATTATGTATCAGTGCATGTTAGAGTTGTCTATTCTTTTAAACATGCATTGTATGAATAGGCCACCATTTATTTAGTCTCCCACAGAAGAACATTTAGGTTTTTTCATTTCTTTTGCCACTACAAACAACAAAATGGAAGAATTCAAGATTTAAAATAAAAGATAACTTTACATGCAGAATAATTTTCCTGATAGAAAAAGAGCTTATATATGATCACTTAAATAAGATTATGTTTTTCAAAGGGATGTTTTTTGTCTTGTCAAACATTAATTTGGACATTTCTAAACTACCATATTTGAGCCAGAAACATGTCATGCAGGGAGAATGCTTTTCTCTTCATCTCTCAGTGAAATCTGAGACCAAAGTAATTAAATTATATCAATTGCTCTTTGGCTGTAGTACAAAACTAAGAAATCTGTTTCAAAAACTAAATGTGAAAGCTAGAGCTGGCATGTATTATTCAGATTCCTTTCTGGTTCCTCAGAGAGAGATACTTTACAAAGATAATTATGTGTGCTCTTCTGTGCACAAGTCACAATTTTAAAACAATCAACTTCTGCTTCTGGCCAAAAGGGACCAGACAACAAAGGACAATAATCCCTGAGAGGTGGGAAGCAAAGAAGGTGAGCCCTACAACTGCCCCAGCTTACTGCCTTGAGAGTTTCTAGGCCACAGAATAAGCAGGGGGAACCCAGGTGGGACTTGGCAGGCTCCTTCCCTAGTTGAAGGAACAGAGCTGAGAGTCTCGGGAGGCTAAGGCAGCTCCGAGTTACAGGGCAGAGAACTGGTGTGGAGAAAGTTGCACAAAGGGAGAATTCCCGAATCTACAGATGGTCCCCCTAGGCAGCGGTTCTCAACCTGTGCGTCGAGACCCCTTTGGGGGTCGAACGACCCTTTCACAGGGGTCGCCTAAGACCATCGGAAAACACATATATAATTACATATTGTTTTTGTGATTAATCACGATGCTTTAATGATGTTCAATTTGTAACAATGAAAATACATCCTGCATATCAGATATTTACATTACGATTCATAACAGTAGCAAAATTACAGTTATGAAGTAGCAACGAAAATAATTTTATGGTTGGGGGTCACCACAACATGAGGAACTGTATTAAAGGGTCGCGGCATTAGGAAGGTTGAGAACCACTGCCCTAGAGTATATTCAGCAGAGAGTGTGCATGTGAGGAAACTACTCCAGGCTGAAGAATCACCCAGAAGTATTTGAGAGGACAGTACCCAAAGCTCACAAAGGGCCTGGGATATTGCCTGTTCCCACCAGCCAGACTGGAAAACCTCATAATTCACAGAGCATGGAGTACTCTGAAAGGTCTTGCCTCATTAGTGGGACATAATGTGTTCTAAACTAAACACTGCTCTAGTCCTGCCTAACAAATTATAAAAACAAGACCCAAAAGGATCAAATTGTTTCCAAGTAACTATATCCCAGAACAAAGCTCAAGAATATTTATAGTAATATAAAAATATCCAGCACCCAAAAAGGTAAAAATCACAATGTCTGGCACCCAATCAAGAACTACCAGGCAAAAAAAAAGAAGCAGAAAAATACAACCCAAAATGAGGAGAAAAATCAGTCAAAACCAATCAGGAACTGACACAGATATTAGAATTAGCAGAGAAGAAAAGGAAAGGTTATGATAACCATATTCCATATATTTTAAAAAGAACTAGAGGAAAGACCAAACACATTAAGTTAGAGACACAGAAGATATTAAAAAACTCAAACTTTTAGAGATGAAAACTATAATATCTGAAGTAATAAATATACTGGATGGGAATTAATGGCAAGTTAGGCACTGTAGGAAAAAAGATTAGTAATTTGAAAAGGCACTGCAGTATTAATTATTCAAACAGAGAAAATGACTCAAAAAAAAAAAAAAAAGAAAGAAAGAAAATAGCATCAGTGAACTGTGGGACAACTTCAAATGGTCTATATGTGTAGCTGCAGTCCCAAAAGGAGAGGGGAGAGAACAGAAAAAAATATTTGAGAAATAATGGCTGTAACATTTCCAAAATTGGTGATACCATAAACCTACAATTCTAAAAAACTCAATGAACCCTAAGCACAAGGAACGGGAAGAAGACTAGTCTAAGGCACATCATAATCAAACTACTCAAAACCAGTGATAATGAAAAACAACATTAAAAGCAACCAGAGGGGAAAAAGTACAATACCCACATAGGAAAAAAGGATGATAGAGATTTCTCATAGGCAACAATGCAAGAAAAATGAGAATAAAGCAACATCATTAAAGTACTGAAAAAAAATACTATCAATTTAGAATTCTCTATCCAGAAAAAGTATTTTTTAAAATGATGTTTAAATAGACATTCAAGAAAATCCTATAGAACCTACAAAAAAATCAAAATTAATAAATGAGTTTAGTAAGGTTGCAGAATACAAGATTGATACACAAAAATCTATTTTATTTCTATATACTAGCAACAAACAATCATAAACTGAAATTTAAAAATACCATTTGAAATAGTATAAGAAACAAAGTACTTAGGGATAAATCTGTCAAAGATATGCAACACTGAAGACTACAAAAATTGATAAGAGAAATTAAACAAGACTAAGTAAATGGAGAAATAAACTGTTCTTGTGGATTGGAAGACTGGATATTATTAAGTCAAGTCTCCAAATTGACCATTTATTTAACGCAATCCCAATCAAAATCCTTACAACTTCTTTTGTAGAAATTGACAGTTGATTCTAAAACTCATATTGAAATTCAAAAGACCTAGCACAGTCAAAACAACCTTGAAAAAGAAGAAAGTTTGAGGACTAACCCTTCCTGATTTTAAGACTTACAGAAGCTAGATAATAATCAAGATATTGCAATATTGGTGTGAAATAGATGAATAGATCAGTGGACCAGAACAGAACCTAGAAATATACTCACATGTATTTGAACAACTGCTTTTCAACAAAGGTGCAGAGGCAATTTAGTGAATATAGTCTTTTCAACAAAATGGTATGGAGCAACTGGAGCCATATGTAAAAAGAGAATTTTGATCCATACCTCAAACCATATTAAAAAATTAACTCAAAATGGATCACAGTCCCAAATGTAAAACCTAAAAACTATAAAATTTTCAGAAGATAAAGATTTCTTAGATATGGCACTAAAATCACTATCCATAAATCACAAACTGATATACTGGACCTTGTCAAAATTAAAAACTTCTACTCTTTGAAAGATATTCTTAAGAGAATGAAAAGGCAAATCACAAAATGGGAGAAAATATTTGCAAATTATACAATGAGTGGCCAGATTATTATGACCATTCCATCAGTACAATGAAGTGAATTAGTTATGCAAATAATAATAAAACCTTGAGAGTATTTGCTTAGGAAGTTTTCAATATTTAGTATTTTTGGAAGTGTCAATGAAGTACTGATGGGGTGGTCATAATAATTTGGCCAGTTATAATAATCTGGCCACTCAGTGTATATCTGATAAAGGATTATCTATCTATCTATCTATCTATCTATCTATCTATCTATCTATCTATCTATCTAAAAGCCTAATATGCAAATTGTCCCCTTGGGAGTTTGGGAGACCAGGAGTTCGATCACTCGCTACCACGTGCGCTGACCACCAGGGGGCAGCATGGAACGAAGGAAGGCCCCAGCCGGCAGCTGGCAGCTGGGAAAGGAAGGCCCCGATTGGCCTTGATCGCTGGCCAGCCTAGGGACCCTACCCATGCACGAATTTTGTGCACTGGGCCTTTAGTACAGCAGTTGCCAACCGATGGTCCGCGGACCACTGGTGGTCTGCGAGGTCTGAAAGGTTGGCAACCGCTGCTTTAGTATATCCATAATAAATAAAGAACTCTCAAACTTTGAATGGACACTCCACCAAAGAAGATATATGGATGGTAAATAAGCACATGAAAAGATGCTCAACATTGTTAATAGCGAAATGCAAATTAAAACCACAATGTGATAACACTACACATCTACAGAATGACTAAAATTAAAAGGACTGATCAAACCAAGTATCGACAAGGTTGTGGAGCAATTGCAGCTCTCATATATTGCTGGTGGAAGTGTAAAATGGTACAACCACTGAGGAAAACAGTTGGCAGTTTCTTAAAAATTTAAACATATATCTACCATATGATCTAGCCATCCCACTCTTGGTTTTCATACAAGAAAAACCCCCAAAATATATGTTCATAAAATGTCTTGTCCACAAATGTATAGAAAGCTTTATTTGTAAAGCTAGTGAGTTTGAAAACTGCCATGATTTCAAAGTAGTGAAGAGAGTAAATGACATTTACGTGATGAGATAAGAAAGTATCTGTGACTTTCATATCAACTGTAATATAAGCAAAGATCTCTGATTCCTATTATTGACTTTGTCACAGGTACTAAACTTTTTGGGGAAATGGAATGTTTTGTATCTTGATTGTCATGTTGGTTACATAGTTATAAAAATTTGTTAAAATGTAAATATATATGTAAAACGGTCACATTTTATTGTGTGTATGTTATGCTTCAATAAAGTTGCTTTTAAAGGTTAAAAAATATTAATTTAACAGATATTGCCAAAATGTTCTCCAAAGCAGTTGTACCCAATTTATATACTGAGCCACAATATATAAAAATGCCAGTTTCGCCACAAGCTTGCCAAGACTGTATGTGCTAAACCTTGTCCTTCTTATAAGTGAAAGTGGTTTTGTAATATTGTTTTACTTTTTATTTATATAATTATAAAGGTAAATGTCTTTCACTTGATATTTGAAGAGATCTAGATTTTATACTTTTGGATAGATGGGCAGTTTCTGTAAAAAAAAAGTAGTGTTTTTAGCTTCTAAATTTGGAGATTGCATTTCCATTTATTTTAGCAAAAGAAACATTGTAAAAAGAAATACAAAGTTAAAAAAAGCTTTATTTGTAATAGCCAAAAATTGGAAACAACCCAATGTCCATCAACAAGTAAATGGATAAATAAACTGTGGCTTCCATACAATGAATACTACTCAGCAATAAAAAGGAACTATTGACACATACTACAACATAGATAAATCTTAAAATAATTATACTGAATGAAAGAAGCCAGACAAAAATAGGTTATATACTATATGATTTCAGTTATAAAAATTCTAGAAAATTCAAATTATTTTATAGTGACTGAGAGCAGAGTAGTGGTTGTCTGGGCACTGGAAGGAAGGGGTGGGAAGGAGATTTTACAATGGGACACAAAGTTAACTTTTTGGGATGATGGACTAGTTCATTATCTGTATAGTGAAGATGGTTTTTGTGCATGTGTACACATGTCAAAACATCAAACTGTACTTTAAGTATAGTTAATTGTATATCAATTATAAATTCTCCTAAATGAGATACTTATTTATAAAATACTAATGAGCTTGACCAGCTGATCTCTCAAGTTCCCTCCAGATCCAATTATTATTTCTTCTAACCACACATAAAGGAACAATGCAGAAATAAGAAAAAGGGAGGCCTGTGATTCTAGACTCAAGTCAGGCACAAATCTCCTTACAGCAAAAGTAAACTGCTAAAACTAAAATACACCCCCACATTTTATAAACTTTAGTTATAAAAATAAAAATATTTTTAACCATTAGGAGGCATGTCATAAAATCCAAAGTACTTAAGAACAAAATCTTATACTTAACTACAACACTTTTGTATTTTTTTGAAGTTTATTCATATATATGTTCCCATTTGACCTTTGCCTATTCCATGAAGACACCAGATAACTTACCATTTATCAATGCACTTCTGACAAAAGCTGTGAGTACAAGGCAGGATAAGGTCAACTCGACCATCCATGCAGATACAACACTCCTCCTCATCAGTCAGCTGCTTCACCCTGCAAAGTGAAAGCTAAGCTATAACAATATTCTCTGCTGTCATTATAGTTTAAACCAGTGGTCACCAACCGGTGGTCCGCGAGGTCCGAAAGGTTAGCAACCGCTGGTTTTCAACTGTTTCCATCACCTGAAAAAGCATTATCAAACATCTATGTGCCTTCAGTATAAAGCAAATGACTCATGCAATATCACACTAAATCAACATACTTTTTAGGGAAGGCATTATATTAGGGAAGAAGTACTAAGAGGGGCAAATTTTATGAAGAAAGACTGGATAAGGGATAAATTCTGCAGTGATTAAAAAGAAAATATGGACAAAAAACCTGGAAATATTCAGGTCTTTCTGCAAATAGCTTAACCCATTTAAATCATATTAAATTTATATAAGTGAATTTAACCAATAATGATTTATTCACTATACAGGATACAAAGCACTCTAAAATATGGATCTTGCCATCACGGTCTCCCTGTGCTGATGCTGATAATGAGCATATAAATGAAAAAATACCTCAGTCTTAAGTATCGGGTGCTACAGTAAATATAAGAGACAGAAAGCACAGTCTTGGTCCTCAAGGAGCTCTCTCACCTTGGGAAGAAAAGAGATGTTGAATCTTATACTCCAGCCACCATTTAGAGTGCCCTGAATGGGCCAAGTGCCTTTGCATGTGGTGTTTTCCTTTCTTGGAATACTTTTGTGAGTTTGGTAAATTCCAATATCAGTAACTCAGCTCAAAATATTACCTGCCTGTTCTCAAAACCAACATGTGCCTTAATTAAAGAACTTACATGTTGCATTTCAACTGGCTGTTTACTGGCTATCTATTAACTTAAAATTTTTTTGAATAAAGGGTGTTTATCTTAGGTTCTCAATAAATGTTTCTTAAAGTGATTTTAGTTTGTTTTTATCCTTTGTGCTGTTCTATTACTGTTAGATTTTGTTCATCAGGCATGTATTGCTTTTTTTAAAGATTGAATGTTTCAATGTACAGCCACTAGACTGTAAGTTTAAAAGGAGAAGCTATTGCTAACATGTTTTTAATTCCCTGCTGTGCTTATACCAGTGTATGTATATAAGATATTGAGATGTCACTTTAAAATTCATCAATCTGAATATAAAACAGAATATAAGCAAATATCAAATGTGCATTACATGTAGTAAGAGCAAAGTAAAGGAGGAGGAAATGAGTGTATTTCAAACTTGTTGGAAAGATTAGGTAGAGAAATGATAGGATTTTGACAGAGAACATGCTAGGTGAATAAACAAAGCTGTGACGGTAGAAAAAAACCTGTGTATGCACACATGCACTCAACAAGGAGCCTGGCATGATGCTCTGGGAAGAAAACTGAGAGAAAACGTTGCTTAAATATAGCAAAGAGAATCTGATCCTGGAATATCAAAAAGAAAAGTTTAAACTTGTTCTGACAGGCAAACTACAAATCAGAGTTTGATCAAGGGGAAAGTAACTCCATTGAAATAATACTTCAGGAAGATTAATTGGGAGTGCAGCATGAGGGGCAGTGTAGAGGGAGGAAAACCAATTAGATTATTTCAGCAATTCACTTGGGAGATAATTAGGGCCTGGTCTAAGGGTCATTATGAAAAACAAATCATCAGGATGTGGTAATAGATTAAATGTTATGCTTTAGTATTGGGCAAAATAGGGTAGCCATTGAATTGAAATGGGGAAATGGAATAAAAACCTAGATGGATGTGTATCTAATGTATTTTATTTTTTTCTACATATGTTCATTTCAATGTTTAGGTGCTATATATAGTGCCAGACCCAGATGAATTGGAGTCTCTGCTTTTGAGGAGCTTACAATTTACATCTAAGAATGTAGACTTGGGTGTCAATAGCGGAGAAAATAATTGAATCCATAGAGTGACAGGTGAGAATTTAAAAGTGAGGCACTGATGGCCATGAAGAACAGCATTCTGGATAGGGGTAAAAGAAAGAACAGGAGACACAGAAGCAGCCAGTGGAACCTGTATAATGTTCACCTGATTTTTGCTACCTTCCAAGCAGTGCAGTGACCAGAAGAGCCTTGCTCTACTTGTCCTTGTTAGACCACTTACAGAGCATTCAGTTCTATGCTCCCTGCCCTGAAAGACACATTGAGAGATAAAGGATTATCCAGGAAAGCCTCCAGGACATAGAAGAGACTCATATGAACAAATCAGAAGGAACTGGGGCTGCTCATCCTGGAGAACAGAGGCTCAGTGAGGATTTGATTACTGTTTTCAAATATGTGAAGGGCTGGAAAAGAGAAGACTTTTTTGGTGGGATTCCAAAAGGCACTGCCACTGAAATAAGTAGACTACAGTAATAATTTAGTGATAATTAATGACAGTTATCTCTTACCTATTATTATGGGCCAGGTACTATTCTAAGCATTTTACATATATTAACTCACTTAACTCTCTCAAGAGTCCTATGAAACAGATATTCATAGGACTATATTGTAGGAAGAATTCATAGTAATTAGAACCATCTGTATGTGAAAAGGCTTGCTTCTCTGAGGCTTTGAGCCCCATTTAACTGCAGGTGATCAAGTACAAGTTGCACTTTCAACTTGGCTAAATGTCATCAGTAGAATCTTACTATTCAAAGTGTTATCCATGGAGCTGCAGCAGTGACATTACCTGGAAGCTTGCTAGAATCTTAAGCTCCTCCTCATAACCACTGAATGTCAAAAGTTAGGAAGAACTGTAGTACAGGATCTTTATGCACCAGAGAATAACAATGCAGGTTGGAAGCACAGCTGTATTGCCAGACAGGCCTAAATGTGAATCTCAGCTAGACCAATGTCTATCTATGCCATTTATTTGTCTAAACTCATCTGAAATAGGCCAATAATTGTATTCCCATAGGGTTGTTCTGAGGATTTAATGAGTTTATACATGTAAAGCATTCATCACAATGCCTACTACCCTATAAGTACTCAATAAATATAAACCACTAATAGAAGTATGCATGAGATGTAAGGCTGAAGCAAATAAATACCTCTTAAGATTCCCTTCAATTTAAAAAGTCTGGTTTTCTATGAACTAGTGTATCAGGATGTAACTGAAAACCAAAAAGCATACAGAAGCAAAAAGCAGCCCTAACCTACTAATCTGGCATTGAATTTTCTAGTCTCAAGGGCACATGAAAAGGAATAACACCCTATCTCCTTCATTAAGATGACTGCAATAAGGAAAAAGTATTACTTTCATTTCATTGACTACCATAGAGCTTAAATATAGTAAATACTATTCGTGGCTTTTAAAATCCTATGTATAAATAATCACCATTTTGAAGGAGAGAGAAAAAGCAGAAAATCAGATAGTTGTCTTTGAAAGATTAACTTTACAAAATACAGGAAAGACAAGCCTTAACGTTGCCTATTCTATATAACAAAAGCCTAATATGCCAAGTGTCTGGTTGTCAGTTCAACCAATCAAAGAGTAATATGCTAATGATATGCTAAGGCTGCTCAACTGCTTGCTATGACATGCACTGACCACCAGGGAGCAGACAATCGAATGGTCAACCAGTCGCTATGATGTGCACTGACCACCAGAGGGCAGACGCTCCGACCAGTAGGTTAGCTTGCTGCTGGGGTCCAGCCGATAAGGACTGAGCGAGATGGGCGGGACATGCCCTGGAGCTTTCCCACAGTCCCTCCCCGGGTGGCCATCCTCCCGCGTCCCTCCTGGCCGCAATTGTGCACTGGTAGGGTCCCTCGGCCTGGCCTGTGCCCTCTTGCAATCCGGGACCCTTCGGGGGATGTCGGAGAGCTGGTTTTGGCCTGATTCCGCAGGCCAGGCCAAGGGACCCCACTGGTCCACAAATTCGTGCACCAGGCCTCTAGTGATGCTATAAAACTCATTTGGAATTTCAGTAACACTTGTACAGCCCAAACCTAGAAAACCAAACAATCCTATTAAATATAAACAGAAAATGATAAATGGAAAATACAATTTTACTATAACAATTTTAGTATTTGAAGATCAGCTGATTAAGAATAGACCAGAAAATGCTACTAGAGAAATAGAAGAGAAATTCTTGTTAAGCATATTTTTAACTTTAAGGTAAAAGGCACTGTCAATACAGGTTTCTGCTGTCTACTCTGTATGACAATAACATAGGATGTCAACATGTCTGGACCCAGGGAAGACTTTCCAATGAGGTGTTTACAAATTTAAGTTATGATCATGGTTGTCAAATGGCAACAGGTGGGAGCTTTCACGTGCCAAAAACATTATAGAGAAGGAAAAGAAAGTTTAGATAGAACAATAATGTAGGCCTGAGTAAACAAGCACCATCACAGAAAACTCTGGCTGACTTCATTTCCTTCTGGTACATGCAATATGTACACCAACTACTTGTTCATTCCTGAATGCACTGCCAGATCCTGGAGCCAATATTTACAATTTTAATGCTCCAATTAGATAATTTTAAGGAAAATTGGAATGGTTCTGCCATTCTTGGACCTAATTTCCTGAAGGGCTTTGATGTAAGAACCTAAATATCTATTATAAGAGGGGTATTAACTATAACTCTTTTGTCACTAAATGCAAGCATGTAGAGAGTGGATTAATGGAAATGAAGTTGGCAGCAATGTTACCTGGCATAAGCCACTTCAACTTTTCTTTAATTGGGCCCTCTAACAATGTCCTTTAAGTACAGAATAATCCAAAAGCTGATCTGGGATATATCAATTGAGACAAAAAGTAATGTGATTTAAGATGTCACAAAGAGCACCAGCCAAAATATTAATGAGATTTCAGTAGCTTGAATATTGGAAAATAAGAGAAACATGGTGCTTATGTATTGTGTACCTTCCCATCCAAAGACTAGCTTGACAAGATGTTACAGATGAGGAGTTTTCATCAGGGGCTTCAGAGGTGGAGCTCTGTGCCAACACTTCTGCTGCTTGACTTGTGATGTCTTTATAAAGCTGAATAAACTGGTACAAATTCATGATCCGTGATGCTTCTACAATGCCACGGCTTTTGTTAATCTAAAAATACAAAGAAAATGAAGAAAAAAAAAATCCCAACAATACACACACACAACCCCTCCCCACCCCAAAACGTTGATAATTTCTCTGATCATTTTTTCCCCAAAAAAGGGGAACAAATACTAAGTCAAACATCCTAGGAAAGAGAAGTTTGCCAGGTTTCCAAATTATCCAACAAGAGAACAAGAGTCTGAGCATATGAATAATATCATGTCTCCTACATTTGTAGATTTCAAAGGAGCTACACAAATTTATCTAATTTGATATTCAAAATAACTCTGTAGGGTTGATTAGGCATCATCTTATTTAGATTTGTGAGGTCAGGCAACTTTCCCAGACTTAAGAAATGAATTTTAGAGATCAGTATTGGCAATTCTTTTCATTTTAATTTCTTAAAGAATTTCTTAATTAAAGGCATTTATTTGAATCCAGCAACCACATGCCATTTTACTATAATTGAAACAACAGATTGTTTCCTTGAATATCTTAAGTTCTACTTTATACCCAAACTTCCAAACTAAAGTGAGAAAATTATATTGAAGTAAATCCTAACAAAAAGTGGTTGAGTTTTTCTCAGAAGGCCATTTTGAGGTATAGTAAAAACTCATTTAAAATAAAATGAACCAGTGTCTACAGGTTGTACTTAGCCTTGCTCTAGCTTACATTATAATGTGAGGATATATTTGGGGCAAGTGTGAGGTAACAGGTAAGGAGGGATAATATTGCTTTCAGGTTGGAGGACTCGTGGAGTGGGGTATATCTTCACTTTTGAAATGACCAAAGCCAGTAGGATTGAGGGCAAAGAACATGAATTAATCAGCAATACATTAGAGATGTAAAAGACTTCCTTTCAGCACAGGAGATAAGGAAGATTGTGGGGACAGAAGTAAGCAACGAAACCTATTAAGTACAATATCAAAATAAATAGAACAAACAAAATCATAAAATACTTAGAAAGAAATGAAGAATGCAGGGAGAAATATAGAGAGAGGGCATTAAAACTGTGAATGAAGTAGGTGTTGATGAAACTGGGGATATGAGAAAGTGAAATATGAGGTTACATATTAAAAAAAACATTATTATAGCAACATTTCCATATTTGGAATGAAAATAATAATAGTTGCAACTAACATTTATTGTTTACTACTTGAGAAGACAATGAGAAGAAAAACAGAATCAAGTATGAATCAGATTCCATGTGTAAAAATGCCAGAACCACTGCTAATTTAAAAAAATTTGATTAAATTTTGGGATGGTAAGATCTAAATGGAAATGCAAATATGTAATATTCTTTGTAATAAAAGACTATAGGTGCAGTTGAGAACAAATAGAAATAAAGGTGATAGGAATTTATAAATTATAAAATAGATTTTCAGAGCTAAAGAAACTGGGCCAGTCTTCCTTTGAAACTGTATAATTCAGAAGAAATCAGGGAATAATTCACATAGACATAGTATTTAACAGCAAAGTTTATCAAACTGCAACAAATATTTTTTTATTTTTTCAATCCTCACCTGAAGATATTTTTTTTTCCTTTGATTTTTTTTTTTAGAGTGGAAGGGAGGGAGGGAGACAGAGAAACATAGATGTGAGAGAGACACATCAATTGGCTGCTTCCTGCATGTGCCCTGACCAGGGCCAGGAATTGAACTTGCAATCCAGGTACATGCCCTTGACTAAGAATCGAACCCACAACTCTTCAGTGTGTGGGCCGATGTTCTATGCTCTAACCACTAAACCAAACTGATCAGGGCACAACAAATATTTATTAAGTACACATTACTGTTATAGGTAATATGTGCACTGCTCTAGGCACTGGTGACAGTGTGTATAAAAAACAAAACTCCTGACCTCATGGAATTTATACTATAGGTAGGAGAGACAGACAATAAAATACAGGTTAGACAGAAGTAAGTGTTATGGAGAAGATAAAACAGAGGAGATGAAATGCTAAAGGGTCGTAGGGAAGGCCTCACAGAGAAGGTGACATGTAAGAACTGAAAGGGGTGAAAGAATGAATCATATCAATATTTGGGGGAAAGATAATTCCAGGCTGAGAGAATAGGAAGTGCAAAGCATGTTAGGCAGAAGTGTACCTGGCAAGGAGCACAAGGAGTGCAGCAAGGAGCCCAGGGTGGTTGGAATAGAATGAGGGGGTTGGAATTGGAAAAAATAAGGTTAGGGGGTGAGGTGGGGACAGAATGTATAGACTTTGCTGATCATGACACAAAAGGAAAAAATCTCCTTACCCACGAGTTCTTTATGGGTTGGTCAGGAATGGACTTCAGGGCACTCATGAAGGCCCAATTTACTGTTTATGTGCACATGGATGATTTCACCATTTGTTTGTTGTAGAGTAGGAGTGGGGATATGAGAAGGCCTAATAAAATTCGTTCCTTCATTTTCACCGAAAGTTCTGTGGCCTCACAAAGGTTAAAAACCATCTATTCTAATCTACCCATTGATGGATGAGGCTTCCTAATACTCTATGACAGCGGCTATTATATTTTTCAACACAGGTGATATATTCAATTACCTAAAATGTAAAGATGAACTAAGACAGTGTATTAATGGTGAAAAATCCATTCTACAATTAAAAATTACTAAAACAAAACAAAAAACACAAACCTTTCTAATGGATTTAAAAATTATTAAATAAATAAAACCCAGTGTTCTTAAAAGAAATGATCTCTTAAGATAACTAATTTTTAAGGAGTCATCTTAGAGTTATGTAGAGTGTTGCCTTAGGATTCCATAGCTAGCTAAATACAAAAAGAGAGGTAGAGGGTTTACTACCACCTTTCTTGATTATAAAAATCTCTGCTATATGGTAATTACACAACCAGTGAGATTCAATTAACCTGGAAGGCAATAACAGTACCAAAACTATGTTTTAAATAGTTAATAATAACCACATTATTAACATCTATTTCAATCATATTACATTACACAATTAAATGTGGTTCTAACCACCAAAATAATTCTAGTTCTGCATCAGAAGTCTCTATCACTCTCACCTTGGTACAGACCACCCGTACAACCACTTTCCAAAAGGCAGAGGAATCAGACCCAGGTTGTACCTCAAAGAGAAGATGTTTTTCCTGGCCAGAAGCCACTTTAGCAGTTCTGAAAAGAGACAAACACATTTGTTTATTTTATGAAAAGTCATATAAAATAATTAAGCCATGAAATTAGATTCAAGAAACACTTTAAATCAGAGAAAAAAAATTGAAGAAAAAACACAAAGTCAAATAACAATAATAATTGTAATAATTAGATTCTTAAAACACAGGGATAGAGAAAGTTTTGATTAAACATACAACTTAATTTCCAAGGTTTTTAAAGTCAACAGCATAGTGGAATGATATTTATAAATCTGTTTGTCATATTTAATATCTTAATGGTCTTTAAACTTTTAACAAAGACATCTACGAAAAACATATCCAAGGAAACAGATATTTAAAAGAAAAACCAAGCTGGTTTCACTTATCCAAATTTGACTATTGCCTCAATGCATATAAAGTGTGAAAAAAAAATCTTGCTTTTGGTTGAGTCCTTATTTAAGCAACAATAATAACACATCACTTTGGAAAAAAAGTTTATAGGTAATGTGGACTGGATCAAGCAAATGCTTTTGAGACACTTTGAATATAGCTTCCCCGGGCAGAGTAATTTTCATCTAGAGAGCCACAGGATTCTAACATAAAAATATGACTTTTAGAGAATAATATCGCCATCAATGCTAATTTAAATCAGTTAAAAGACATACTTAAATATTACTGCTCCCTTCTATCATTAGTCACATTTCTGTCTGTGCATCAATGGGGATATCACACTCAGAACTAAGTGACTTACAGCTAAATAAATTGAGGCCATTGAAATTAAGCAACTAACCTGAGGTAACAAAATCTGCCAGGGAATGTAATTCAACTATGCCAGTTCCCAGTTGTTTTCTAGCTATCAAGCCACGCTTCATCTGTATAGGTTTAACTTTATTTCTCAGGCAGCACTGCACTTATGAATGCCCAACTCTGACCGTGAAAATTGGTTTTATGAACCAAATCCAGTCAGAAATAAATGAGAAGATATTCTTTACCATCACATCAGTATTACACAGTAAACTTAGCTTGTGGATGCTTTCACGGGACACATTTTATTCAGTATGTTTAGATGAAAAGGCAAAATTTTGTTAGACTAGACAAGGTTTACATAAGTTCCGAGACTCAAAGGGATGCTAAAGTTTTAAAAACAGATGGCTACGTTTTTTTATTATAAAAGATCAGACAATACACAAACACACAGTAAAATGTAAAATCTCCCTCGATGCGCCCCCGTTTCCACTGACTCCCCAGAGACCCAGTATGCAGCCTCCTAGCTCTTTTTGTATGTATTTACATATATAACAATACAGGATCCATCCATATAAATATACAGGACTTTAAGAACAAAACAAAATCCAGTGCTCTTAAAAGAAATGATCTTCTAAAACAACTTTAACTTTTAAGACATTCTTTATTCTTCATGACTGGCTAATAACAGTAGACTCTAGTCATGTCCATAAAAAAACTGTATTTCCTTTTTTTTATCTAAATGTGTTCCACATAGCCAAGTATGTTTCTTATCAACCAACACAACTATCACAAAGCTAGGGAGCACAGCATGTTCATGTACCTTGCCCTAAACTATTAATAGGGACTGTTTATACTAAGTGGGTCCAGACTGCTTGGTGATTTTGATTGGCTTTTGGGGGGTTTAAAGAGTGAGATATTAAGGTGGGTTAATGAAAAAAACTTCAGATGTAGGGAGAGCTGGATCTGCCATTAATCCTTGGGCAATCATTTTAAGCCTCAGTTAAAATGTCCAACCCTCAGCACAGTGCCTTGCACACACTATGGGTTCAGTGAATGTTAGCTAAATTGAACAGACTTAAGAGAGCCTTTAAGATCTTATTTAAAAGGCAATTTCATAATTACATGCCAAGAGAGACAGAAGATATATATACATGGATGTAGGTGCTGCCACAGAAAGACTTAATAGAAGGAAGTGACATCTGCTCATCTGTCACTAAGGGAGAAAACACACAAAGAAAAAGTAATATTTTAAAAGCATAATAATCTGGGGCCATTTAGGGACAAAGAGCCCTGTGTATTTTGATAGCTGCTATAACAGATTGGTATAAAAATTGATATAATAAAGAACAAATTCACAAACAAAAGACTAAATTCTATTAAATATGCTCTTTAAGAAGATAGAAAAATGTATATTCCATTTAAAACATTAATCAATTCAAGTTAAATAGTGATTTAAAGATGTTAGCTGATGCCAAAACCGGTTTGGCTCAGTGGATAGAGCATCGGCCTGCGGACTGAAGGGTCCCAGGTTCGATTCCGGTCAAGGGCATGTACCTGGGTTGCGGGCACATCCCCCGTGGGAGATGTGCAGGAGGCAGCTGATCGATGTTTCTCTCCCATCTATGTTTCTAACTATCTATCTCTCTCCCTTCCTCTCTGTAAAAAATCAATAAAATATATTTAAAAAAAAAAAGATGTTAGCTGATTAGAAATATTAATAACTGAAATATCTTATTCTTCTGATGATAAATGAATTATTACTATATATGTATTTCTCTGGTAAAACAATAGCTCTGCGAACAAACACAGAAGATTTATTTATTAACTAGATGAACTGGCTGATATACAGAAACCTGAGTGCCCAAGGACTATCCTAGGAGCCTTTCTCTAGAGTGGGTAATTGGCATACTCTCATTATGTACCTCTTTAGTGCTTTCAAACAAGAACAATTTATATGCCTGTGTTTAAAATTTAATTTAATGCTCCTTCCATCTCTTTTGTTCTTATTACATATTTTAAAATAGCCACATAGAAAGTCTTATAGTAGGTATTCAATAAATATTTGCTAACTGCTGCTGAAAACATTAAGTCATCAATACTTCTGATTACCTCTCAGGCAGTCATGACATGTGGGGCATACATAAGCAGGAAAATAAAATGAAAAAAAGCAAGCCTTACACATCATTAAGTTCAGCTACTCTCCCAAGAAATTCTTCGTAAGTTAAGGAGCCACTTTCTCGAACCAATGTGACATGTTTTGCTACTTTTTCTGGTAACTTGTTAAGAACCAACTGCGTCTGATCCGAAATCTGTTGTCCCATGATGAAATGATGTCTTTTGAAATCCAGGAAGTGTTGCTTCACATAGTTTCTGTTAAATATATATATAAAAGTTACTATATATAATATAAAAACAGCAGTATATCCACCCCTTCAAGAAAATAAAAGAAAAACTAGGAATACATTTAAGTAGAGTTCAAGAGGCTGATATCTCAGCTGATTTCTCAACAGAAACCATGCAGGCCAGAAGAGAGTGGCAAGAAATATTCAAAGTGATGAATAGCAAGAACCTACAACCAAGATTACTTTATCCAGCAAAGCTATCATTCAGAATTGAAGGTCAGATAAAGAGCTTCACAGATAAGAAAAAGCTAAAGGAGTTCATCACCACCAAACCAGCATTATATGAAATGCTGAAAGGTATTCTTTAAGAAGAGGAAGAAGAAAAAGGAACTCTTACCATTTGCCACACCATGGATGGAACTAGAGAGCATTATGCTAAGTGAAATAAGCCAGTCAGAGAAGGATAAATACCACATGATCTCACTCATTTGTGGAATATAATGAACATCATAAACTGATGAACAAGGACTGATCCAGAGATGGAGAGGCATTGATTGGACTGTCGGGCCTTGGAGGGAAGGTAGGGGAGGGCAGGGTTAAGGGGGAAAGATCAACCAAAGGACTTACATGCAAAACGTGGGTATAAGGACACATGTAATATCTTAATCAATAAAAAAATATATTAAAAAAAAGAGGCTGATATCATTTTGATATTAGCAAATACTTCCTTCTAGCTCAGGGGTGGGGAACATCCAGCCCCAGGACTGTATAAAGCCCGAAAAATCATTTGGTCTGGTCCTGCCAAGGCATTAGGGGTGAGTTAAATGTTTGACCAAATATAGCAGGCTAATTTTTTAAAAAAATATATTTTATTGATTTTTACAGAGAGGAAGAAAGAGGGATAGAGAGTTAGAAATATCAATGAGAGAGAAACATCAATCAGCTGCCTCCTGCACACTCCCTCATGAGGATGTGCCCGTAACCAAGGTACATGCCCTTGGCCGGAATCGAACCTGGGACCTTTGATAGTCTGAAGTCTATCCATTGAGCCAAACCGGTTAGGGCGAGGCTAATTTTTAAGTTGATAATTTTGTAAGGCCCTCAATGATGTTATAAATATCCAAATGGCCCCTGGCAGAAAAAAAGGTTCCCCACCCCTATTCTGGATCATGGAACAGTAGTACTGCATGGGAACATAATTTGCAAACCACTGGCATAGAATTCAGCACAAGACAAATCTCTGGTCAAGATTTCTCAAAGAACTAGCAGCTCTCATACTATTGTGCCACCTATAATTTAATCCTCGCAACCAGAATAATAACGTGCTTTCAAAAAACATTTGGAAGATTTTTAAAATAAAGAACAACTGTTTTTTTTTTAAATATAAGAATATCAAGGATTCCAAAAATGCCACATTCTTTAGTGGGTGGTAATATACACTTGATCAATTCTTTTTCTAACAAGTGAACTGTTGTAGTTCAAATATCCTTTATAAAGATATAAAATTACATCATGGGCAATTGGCAAAACCAAAAACCAACCCCCAAACCCAACCCAACCCAACCCAATCCAAAAAATCCGGGAAAATTTAAACCATATCCATTCATAAAAGGATTAAAGAAAAGCTGAAAAGCCTGAAAGTGCAACAAAATGACTAACTCAAAAGTACTGTAGTATTTATAAAATATACGTAACTGAAATAATCAATTATTTTCATCATGCAGTCAGTAATAAAAAAACATCAGTGATAAAAAACTAGGCCCCTAAGGATACACTTTCATTACTCATTCCTTATTCAACGGCTGTTATCTGTAAGCTGTTCTGCAAGATAAGAAATTAACAGCAGTTACAACAGATATTATAGGCAGTGAAACAAATTAAACTAGAGCCACTATAGAGCCTGGAATGCCTGTTCCGAAGAAAATTTTTATAGAAAGAAAAACTACAAAAGGAGAGAGAGTACTTGGAGGTTAAGAATACTGATTTCTGAGAGCACCAGTATGTTTACTAAATACATTACATACGTATTTGGAAAAATACACTAACTAGACGTGTAAGAATCCTCTCTGGGCCTTCCCTGCTTTTTTGGCAGAAGGGTAAGGTTAAGTGTGCTAGGTGTTTGGAAGTGAACTAAGAAAGATGGGGCCCCACACCTCAAATACCAAGTTCAGTTACAAGAAATGACAAAGAACATATCTTTGGAAATCTACAATTATACTAAGGAGGAAATTATTTAGAAATGGCAGCCAGGCAGCATCAAAGGAAAGAAAAAAAATCCACACTATTTTTGAGTTCGGAAAGAATCACTTCTTAGAGAGGCGACTTCAATAGAGCAGTGACTGATTTAGGGTCTGGGCCCGATGAAATTCTGAATGGATGGAGCTCAATTCATAGCAGTAGGGATGGGCGGAGGGGAGTGGAAAAGAGTAACTCTATGCAGGGTCAGAATGTGGGCGTGCACTACAATTAAAGTAAAGGGGCTGGGGATGGATTTGAATAATAATAGTAAGTCCACGTTTTGCAGCTAACATACAAATAACAATTATTAGCAAGGAAACGTTTCGTCTTGGCCGGTCCTGCAGGTAGCTGGTTCACCAAGGTCAGACCTTTGGGAAGAGGAGCAGCCTAAACTAACTGAGAAACGGAGGGCCGGCTACGCCGAGCAGATGGCTCGGCCGTGTGAGTTAGGGTCGCCGGGCAGAGGGGCTGTCCTCTGGGACGTCCGGTGCGGCCGGGCGCACGTGGTTTTCAACGTGACCGGTGTGTTTACCAAACACGCCGGCCGCCCCCGCCGCCTCGGCCCCTCCTCAGGCGCACTTGAACCTGGAGCTTTGAGCCAACAGCCACGTCCGCGATCCGACGGGCTGCGCAGGCGGCAAGATTCAAACGCGGTTCCGGGCTCGAGAAGGACCAGCTCCCTCCAGTGCCCCCAGGTCCTCTCCCCAAATGGGACCAGCCACCTCCCCACACCGGGCCATTGAAACGGCCGGGCTGGAGCCGGTGCGTCCCCGCAGGGCCTCCCAGGCCG